ATTAAATGGCAGCTATCAATTTGGGAGACCTAAGTATTTACTCTCCTAGTATTCCTGTCTGCCTACTAGATTCTTTTCCCTCATCTCAGTTGTCGTTTCTCTAAGTTTAGGGCAAGAGAGTGGCTCTGTACCACCACTAATCTTTACAGCCTAAGTAATATCGAAAATTCAGGGGGCAGCACCCAAAACCCAGCCTGCAATTCTTCCAAGTGGATTATGTGCCCTTGCCCCTTCAGACCTTCCCACTTCCAAAGGCAACCCTGTGCCCAAGCCATGCAACCACGCTTTCTATCCCAAGGAGCTCCTGGATGAGCTCAGGAGCCCCTTCGGTGCCTCATCGCAGGTGAAGGGCCATTTTAACCCCCAAACACCTAGCACAACAAGTCACAAGCTTCACCTCTCCTTCCAACCGTCCCAACATCCTCCTCTCTCCAGGCTGTTCCAGGCACAGCCCAGGTTCATCGCCAACAGTCCCCAGGCACACAGAACACAGCAACCTACCATGCTTCATCATCACAGTCAGAAACCGGACGATGACTTTGGAGCACGGCCGGATGAGAACCTGGCGCTTGCCTCTCTTTTCGGCATTGTTGATACTCTTCAGAGCATCAGCCAGGACATTCATGCGCACCATGATGGCTGTTCAAGGAAGACAAAACAAGAGTTCACCGTCACTGCTAACGTCAACAGGCACCCAGTCCCTTCACATGCCTTTTTCTGCCTCTATCATGACCCAAGTTTTCCTATTTCTCAGCAGGGCTGTTCCCCAGGATCCCCAGCGGAAGTCGGCTACCTGAACGAAAAAGTCAGACAAGGTCCGTCCGCTATTCCGCACGGGAGCCGGCAGTCACCGACAACGTTCTCCTGGCTTCTGAAACCCAGCAGCCCCGGGACTAACACTGTCCCTTGGTCCACTAACCCAATGTCAGTCTTGTCCTAATTTACAAAAAGATACTACTTTCCACCCAACGCCCGTGTCTATTAAAGAGGAAACGTCGGTCTCTGTGCCACAGAACACTGTGCCTAACAGCAAGTGTATCACATGGCGAACAGGGCAGCAGAGCGGACTCTCTCCGCATGGGCACAAACTGCAACACACTTGGACCAAGTTCTGGAAAGTGAGGAAGGAATCCCGATCAAGCTTCAAGCGCCAAGCAGGTTGGCAGGGATCCAACCTGCTTCCTAAAGCTCAACCGAGTGATGAGGGGGGGACGCCCTCGGGCACCGAAGCTCCAGGTTAGTTCCCAGCGAACTGCCTGCCTCCCCAGCAGGACTTCCTGCCGAGTCCCCAGCCTCGCTAGCGCCCAGCGCGACCGCAGCAATGCGCGGCCCACGACAGTCCCCGTGCCCAACGCTTCCCGCCGCCTCAGCAACTTCGGGGAGACCCCGGCGCCGCTGACCGCGCGGGGCTCCCGCCTCTCCGGTTCCCGCACGCGCTGCGGCCTGGGCCCGAAAAGATAGCTCCCGGGTACTGAGCGTGGGGCACCGAGCGCGACTCTACCCTACGCCTGCCCAGGCTCCTCAAGGCCCGTATCCCCGGCCCAGACACGGCCCAGCATCCTCGCAGGTCACAGAAGTAGAGTCTCAGACTGCAGGATGGCGCCGATAGCCGACGGATGACGCTGGATTGACCAGGCAGAGGTACTCACCGGCACCGACCGATGGCGGAAAGAGGACGGGAGGGGCAAGCGCACGGAGTTATGGGAAGCGGGCAGGATCTCGCGAGATTTTCAAAGCACCACCCGGGAGCGGCGGGGAAAGACTGTGGAAGGTGGGGGTAAAAGGCGGAGCCTCCTCAGGCATGGGCAATAGAGAGTATATAGCATCGACCTTACCAGGTGAGGCCATGCATACAGGATAGAGAGGTAAGGCATCCAGTGGTTCTCAACCTGTGGGTCGCGACCCCTTTGGCGGTCGAAAGACCCTTTCACAGGGGTCGCCTAAGACCATCCTGCATATCAGATATTTATATTACGATTCATAACAGTAGCAACATTACAGTTATGAAGTAGCAATGAAAATAATTTTATGGTTGGGGGTCACAACATGAGGAACTGTATTTAAAGGGCCAGAAGGTTGAGAACCACTGGTCCATCCCCTTCTAGCACTTAATCTGTAAAATAAAAAACTGACAAGAAGAGACTAGATGTTTGCTAATTTTTATTGCAATAACTTCACCATTTAGAATAAATTTTAATATTGCGTATTTATAGTGTCTCTGGAAAGGCCCACAGAAATCGGTTATTACCTCTGGGGAAGGGCATTAGGAACTGGGATGGAAGACTTGCTTTTCTCCCTATAAAGTTTGTTTTGTTGTTTGAAATGTGTGTATACATTACATTTTCAAAGCAGTCAAAAATATTTTTTGTAATCTGTTGTTCCTCTTTGACCCTCCCTAAATTTTAGAAATTATTTACTAGGGCTCCAGGCGTTTCTTGTGAGTTCTGGGAAAAACACATTTGGAAGAAAGTCACAAGTTTCTAAATAAACACTCAGGATTAGGAGCGGTGGCTTTTATCTGCCTGTCTGCACCAGGACAAGAACCAGTTTGTATGTCTCATCCTCTTTGAACTTTCCCCAGGTATAAACTGAGGATAGTAATAATACCTGCCTCTTAAAAGTTATTATGAGGAGCCCTAGCCGGTTCTGCTCAGTGGATAGAGCATGGGCCTGAGGACTGAAGGGTCCTGGGTTCGATTCCTGGTCAAGGCACTTGCCCGGGTTGCAGGCGTGATTGCCCAGTAGGCAGCCTATCAATGATTCTCTCTCATCACTGATGTTTCTCTCTTTCTCTCTCTCTCTCTCCCTCCCTCCCTCTCTGAAATCAATAAAAAAATATTTTTAAAAAAAGTTCTTGTGAGGGTAAGGCAGAGCGAGTGCTCATCAACATTAACATTCCTTAGTATAAAGCCTCTGCCTAACACACCCCCACTTCTCAAATCCTAAGTGAACCGCAAGAAAGCAAAGCTCCCAATTTGGAGATCTCACAGGGATATAGAATTCTCTGGCTAAATATATATTACAAAAGGACCATTTGCTTTTTAAATGAACATTTCCTTGAAGAACTGGTTCTTCTGCACTTACATGTTTTGTTTGCTAAAAATGTGGAATTCACTTTGAGAGCCTTAGCAATAGTGGGGAGTTAAGTGAATAAATTCACTTTAAGAGCTTTATCATAAATAGGAAAATAGCAATACCCACTATCTCTTTATACACTTAATTCATTCATCCATTCACTTAACAGAATATCATGTACCAGGTAGTGAGGGGACAAAAGTACGTTCCTGCCTTGAGACAGAAGTCTTAACACAATGCCAGCCAATGTGCCATTAGTTTGCCAATATGAAGTGCTGTGGAAATGCAAAGGTGGCCTGGGATGTTGCTAAAGCTTTCACAGAGGAAGTGCAATTTGATGTGTCATGAAGTCTAACAACTTCTAATTCGTGATTGCCACTAAGTGCTTCCTGTAGATTAATTTATTGAATCCACAAAACTAATGGGATCATATACTGCACCTATGAGATCTATACTATTACCCCCACTTCACAAATGAGAAGACGAAGTTCAATCTTAAATTGACTCAATCTTAATTTTTTTAGTTTTAAAAGTCAAAAGAAAAGGGGCGGGGGGTTGGATCTAGGTCTACCTGAACCATAAAATATTAGGGTGAATGGGCAGCAGATATTCTAGCTTTACAACAGCTCCAGGAACTAGGAGGCATGGAATAAAGATGAACAGAAGTCTCAGAATGGCTGGGTTGGAATTGGGAAGTAGGGTAGAGGAGTAGAATTGGAGCAGATGGCCAGGTATAAAGTGCCTTACAAGTTTGTGATTTATGCTGTAGGCAAACTGGAACCTGCTGAGAGGGCTTCAAATAGGATTGATCATTATCTGATTGTTAAATGACAACTAGAGCTGGCTGGGCGGCTCAGTTGGTTGGAGTCATCCCATACACCAAAAGGTGGCAGGTTCCTTTCCTGGTCAGAGCACACACCTAAGTTGCAGGTTCAATCCTCAGTCGGGGCGTATATGGAAGGCAACCAATCAATGTTTCACACCAATATTTCTCTCTCTCCTCCTTCCTCTCTAAAGTCAATAGACATATCCTCAGGTGAGGCTAAATAAATGGCAACTGTGTGGAAGATGAATTGGCATTAAAGCACCTGACCTAAAAACTACCAAATCTTTACTCTTTTTAGCACAACTATCTCCAAATAGCCTCCTTTCGACATTTTGTGAATTTGGGATAGGACCACCACTGGAGGTAATGCCAAAGCAAGTGTCAAAACAGGACTTTTGCAGTGGTCATAACTGGCACAGGCGTAGCCAGACTGGTGTGGGAAGGAAGCCAGCCAGTGTGACTGGCCAGCCTGAGATGTAATCACAACTGCATGGTATAAATACAGCATTTCCAGGTATCAGGCAACCAACGATGGTGATTTTGTGTTGAGACCTCCCTGTTTGGAATTACAACAAATCCCCATGAGGCTCCAAAGAAGGATCCGTACATTTTTTGTGTTATGTGTAGGGGGTGGATGTAGGCCTCAGAATGTAATTTGATTGAATCTGTTCCCAGGATACACTAAGTAGACAGTGAAGTCCAATGATAAAACATCCAATTTGAGCTGTAATGTAAAAAAAAAAAAAAAAGTTTAAAGTACATACAAGTCACCCACCACTCACTTACTGAGCACCTCGTGTCCCCTGGGGTACAGAGGTGCCCATGGCAGGCATTCTCCCTTGAGCCTGCTTTGTTCCCTGCCTGTTCTCCCTGGTTGGCCTTCTCACACATCATCTTTGGTTATCACTTATTCATTTCCTTTTGCATCTAGCATTTTGCCTGGATGTTTGCTGAATGAATAAATTTAAACCTTTTATTTTGTTCTTAAAGAGTACCTTATAGGCACGTATTAATCACACAAGATAGTTCATTAATCAGATCCATAAATCCACTCAAGTAAATATTGTACTGGCTAAGGTAGAAAGAAACAAGACACAAAAAGGGATACCAGCTTTTATTTTTCCCCTTTTCACAAAACGAAGTAGAAGTAATACAGAATTAAAATCACAAAAGTAGTTGGTAGAACATGTATACACACAAAAAATCCAGGTAAGGAGACAGGCTTATTTACAATGAGGAAACACATGTAAATTAAGGTAGCTTGTAGTATGAAACAAAAAACTCAAACATATGCTACATGGGTGCCACTGTTGACAGCAATATTGAAGGGGAGAAAACAACACTTATGTAGGGACAGATATACCACAAGATCCAGGTTTTACAGCATCAGTGCAATAAATTCACAGAACTATATTACAGCTAGTTAATCAGAGTTAAAGAATTGTTCCCAAATATGTCACATTTTCGGCCCTTAAAAGGTTCATTCCACAGATTTCAACTACTCTAAATATCTAGGTACTGAGAGGGAAAATGATTCTAAAACGCTTTCCAAGAGTTAGAACATCGCTATAGACCTAAGGCTATCTATCATGTACACAAGTTTGCTCTCACCAACAGCCCTTATAATCTTGAGAAATATCTAGGAAAAACAGTCAGATGCCAGCATAGTCACCACCTCCTAGACCAAATCTATGGGGACCAAGCAGCCAACATTACCATAAAATGAGAATTGAAAAATGAGTGGAAGAAAATTATTTTCTACCGAATCTTGATGAAACACAGGAAGAAGACTTTTGTCCTTTATTAGCAGGTCTTAGAGTAAAAGTCATAGGCACGAGTCTTCATCTCTATGTACTTTAGTTTTAGACAGCTGAAAATCTGAAACTAAAGTATGCCAAAAAATCCTAAATTCAAGCTTTTGGAAGCCTGCTATTAAAAAGCCTTTAGGACCTACTAACTTGAAAGCTAAGTGCAATGAGACAAGAGCTCTAAAACTGTCAGGTTCCCCATTTCGGAGGATCAGCTACTCAGTTTTGCACAAGGGAGAAACCAATACATACTAGGGCATGTAATTAGTATCATTTTATTTCATGAGGGTGCTTCTCCATGGTATAGAAACAGAATTGGTCTCTTCATTGAAGTGGTAAACTTGGTCTCTATATTCTTGAAGCTGGACATTTTTTTAAGCAGACTGGGAAGGAGACAGTACAACCAGTTTCCTATAGCCACAGACCACTACACCTTATATCTAGCTAAAGCAAAGATCAACTTGAACGATTATCCAAAGTCATTTAACTGTACTAAAGATTGAAGTTCATCACTATATTATTTTAACGGAAGCTGCCTATAAGTAATCAACCCTGTGTGAGAAAAATCAAAACAAGCTGTATTCATGAGTTGTCCATATAAGGCCAATTGATGAGAATGCACCCAGATACACTTGACATGAAGACTCTGTATAAAGCCTTGTGTGGCAAGTCTGAATTTCTAGTAACTAAGGGCAGAATGCGTGAGAGCAAAGAGCTACTTCTGTAACACTTTAGTATCCAGGTAAGAGACACTGTTCCCACGCACAATGTATACTCCATTAATCACACTGAATAAAGAAGATGCGTTACTCGTTTTTCTTTTCTTTTTGCTTAAGAAGCTTGTTCATCTCCCTTTTAGCCATTCCAATGTACTTCGAAATGATTCCATGTTGGTTTAGTCCAGGAAGCAACAGGAAGAAAGTCACTTAAAAATAAACAAACAAACAAAGTTAAGAAGGCAATAATTCACTTCCTAAATGTTAATACAGTCTAGAGAAGATAGTTTCCCAGACTATTAGGCAGTCTAATGGGAGGAAGCAATATGAAATCCATTACATCTGTTGATACTCATATCCCAGAAACTTCAACCATCATACCTCCCAACCTCAAATGACACACACTACTTATTTTTACCTCCTGTACATTTCTTTCTACCTGGTTATTATGTTCTTTGTCTTAACTTCCTGCAAGACCACAAACTTCCTACAAACAAGGACCTGGGTTTTAGATATCTTTCTAGACTCCCAGTCCCTTGATAAGTGCCTTAAACTTGGTAAGCACACACGTTTGTTTAAGTTCCTTAGACTTCATTGCCCAGAATGTGCCTGTGCCCTCAAAGACTTACCTATCAGGTAGGTGAGAAGAAGATTGTGGACCTGCTGTCCCACCCAAGCAACCGCAGCAAGAGAAATGATCATGGTCATAAAGTACTAATAAAGAAAATAGTAAGAATGTATTAACTCCTAGAAACAGACTAAGAAAGTCATTTTAAAGATTGGAAAATGATTCCGTTTTTATTACCACTTTTCTTTAAAAATGCTTAGTATCTATCTATAGATACAACTTTTACAATTAATAACTTCACATAGTAAGAAAAAAAATGCTAGCCCTGGCTAGGTACTCAGTTGGTTAGAGTGTCATGCTGATACTCCAAGGTTGTGGGTTTAATCCCCTGTCAGAGCATATACAAGAGTCAACCAATGAATGCATAAATAATTGAAACAACAAATCCATGTTTCTCTCTCTCAAATCAATAAATTTTTTTTGTAGGTTAACATCCATTACCTCTTTTTAAAAGAAATCATATCCTTTTTCTTTGTGTGTGTGTGTACACACACATATATATATATATATTTTGATTTCAGAGAGGAAGGGAGAGGAGATAGAAACATGAATGATGAAAGAGAGTCATTGATCAGCTGCCTCCTGCACGCCCCCTACTGGGGATGGAGCCAGCAACCTGGGCATGTTCTCTTGACTGGAATCGAACCTAGGACCTTTCAGTCCACAGGCTGATGCTCTATCCACTGAGCCAAATCAGCTAGGGTTGTTTTTTTTGTTTCTTTTAAATATCTTCAGTCCACAGGCAGACACTCTATCCACTGAGCAAAACTGGCCAGGGTTCAATAAATAAGTTTTAAAAATAGAAAATAAATGCTTTCTAAGTATATGTCTCTTACTTTATTTCAGTAGGAAAAAAAGAGATTTCACTCTAATAGAATACAAATTAAATGTAATTTTAACTTCTAGTGACTCAGTCTAATACAGATATGCATTTATGAATACACTCAAAAGAAATTAAAGCAATGGATGATAAATATCAAACTATAACTATTCAAACAAAAAGGCTATCATTATATTACACTGAAGTAAAAATTGACTCAACCTTAAAATTTTGCTTTACTTGAATAAATCAAAACAAAAAAAGTACCATTTTCGGCTTTTCTTCCTTTAGTGTGAAGAGGCGTTTCCACCAGCCCACAGTTCTGCGACGAATTTTTACTAGATTGCTGCAAATTTCATGGAATCTTTGCTGCTGCTCAGTGGTCCTAGAAAAAGGATTTCCCCCTTCACTATAAGCATATCTCTACAGTAAACAGAAATACACCATCCTCTCATATTTAAAAAGCTATCTTCTAAAGAAAATCTAAATAGAAAACAATGGAAAAATATTCTCAGGTGAGAATTAACAAAAACAAAAAATTGCCATTGTACTGTCTTTGTTATTACAGATACAATGGCTGCTATTAAAAAGCAGATCTGCCCTGGCTGGTGTTGCTCAGTGGTTAGAGCCCGCACACCAAAGGGTCTTGGGTTCAATTTCCTGGTTGAGTATGTATCTGGGTTGCAAGTTCAATCCCTGGCTCTATTAGGGGGCACATGCAGGAGGCAATCAGTTGATATGTGTCACTTACATGGATGTTTCTCTCTCTCTCTCTCTCTCTCTCTCTCTCTCTCTCTCTTCCTCTCCCTCCCTCCCTTTCACTCTCTCTAAAAAGCAACAGAAAATATCCTCAGGTGAGGATTAACAACAACAAAAAGCAGGCCCTAAGCTGGGGGATGTATTATCTTCTCTCCTCTAGTTCTCATCCCTGTGAAACTGCAGTGAGAGATACAGTAAGAGGATTTCTGATGAACCCTGGAACTTCTTGTAAACAATTTCGACCTTATATGTTGCCCATGGTCAAGGATGGATTGTGGCCATGCAACAGTGTCCTTCCTTCCCCATAAAGAACAAACAATAAAACTGCTCTGTTGATAAGACAGAGCCACGAACTGATTTACCATGAAACTCAGTGTTTATTTCTGAAAACTTTCCTCCTGGAATTATGAATTAGCAGATTAAAAGGCCCTCTGGCTGATAAAGTCAAGGTCAGAAGCTGATTCCACTTGTTAAATTTTTATACAGCATTGTTACAAACTTGCCCAAAACATAGCAGCATAATTCATTACTGAATGTGAAAAACAATTCAATTCAAAGGACACTTCCTAATATTCATCCATAATGCTATGGGAAAACATCTTTAAATAAACATAATTAATTATTCCATAACTTAAGCAAACTTCCTCAACAATGTCTCAATTTTTCTCAAAGACCCAAGGGCTTACATTTAAAATTCTTCCTTTTAAGAATCCTAACAAAGAGGGAATATGCTAATTGACCCTCACACAGTCGTAAAGATGGCGGCACCCACAGCCAATAAGGAGGGAATATGCTAATTAACTGTCACGCCCTCAAAGATGGCTGGCAGGGGAGGGCAGTTAGGCATCAATCAGGCTGGCAGGGGAGTGGTTAGGGGATGATCAGGCAGGAAGGCAGGCGAGCAGTGGGAGCCAGCAGTCCCGGATTGTGAGAGGGATCCCAGATTGGAGAAGGTGCCGGCTGGGCTGAGGGACACCCCTTCTCTCACCCCCCACCCAGTGCATGAATTTCGTGCACCGGGCCTCTAGTTATTTAATAAGTTGCTATTACCAGGGGAACAAAAAGCTAAAGGCACAAGTAGGCTACTAATCAAATTTAAATAAACAACAGATGGAGAATAGCAGCTAGGAAGAAAAAATATATTCCAATGTCTAGTTTTGCTCATTATTTCAGTCAAAAATGAGAATTAGCCCTAGCTGGTTAGCTCAGTGGAAAGAGCATTGACCTGTGGACTGAAGGGTCCCAGGTTTGATTCCGGTCAAGGGCGACCGATGATTTTCTCATCATTTATGTTTCTCTCTCCCTCTCCCTTCCTCTCTATAAAATATCAATAAAATATATTTAAAAAAAAAAAGTGAGAACTGAACATTACAAAGAAGAGAGAAGTTGAAATTCTTGAATATGATCCCTACCACTTAACTATATATATCTTGAGAACTCAGTACATGACTAATTCAAAGAATGGTATAAATGAAATTAACAACCCACTTGTATATACAACTTGAACTTACTCTGAAATTACTGCTAGTCATTAAGCTAACTACCACTGCACTGCCTCAACATCTCAACCTTAAACACAAGACCAATCTTAAAAATCAAAATATTTCATAGCACCCAGAACAGTGCCTAACATAAAAGTAGACATTCAATAGTTGCTAAATGAATGGACAAAAATCTACCAGTTACTGTTTGTATATTCATTCCAAAATAACTTGTGAAGTTAATATACTATCTTAAATATCAATGGAAACAAATATAAAATGTAGAGATACTACTTTCATGGAAAGCTCTTCTTGAGTTCTACAATTCTTGATAAAATATTTTAAGTAAAACATTTACCTAAAAAAACAAATAACCCTCTCACTTCAATAAAAAAAGTCTACAAAGAAAGTCAAAATAAATGTCAGACCACAAAAAGACCTATCTATCTATATAAAACCTAATATGCAAATTGACCAAACAGCAGAATGACCGGAGGAATGACTGGTCTCTATGATGCGCACTGACCACCAGGGGGCAGATGCTGAATGCAGGAGCTGCCCCCAGCCCACAGGCCCCAACCAGCAGCAGTGGCAGGGGTGGCACCAGGCCAGTTAAGGTGGGTGAGAGCCGGTCCCCCCACAGATCAGCCCTGATCGCCAGCCAGGCCTAGGGACCCTACCTGTGCATGAATTTCATGCACTGGGCCTCTAGTGGAGCTATATAAGTACTGGAAATTAATGATTTATATATGAATGAGCTAAAAAAAAACAACTCTTGATATAAAAGCAATAAATCTAACCCCTAGGTATCTGATGGTTAGATACTTCTCTGTGATTAGTTACAGAATACTAATCACAGCCAACAGGGTAATTTCTCAGAAATTAGAATGTCAAATTATCACGCCACCTACCATTTATTGGAGCCAAAAATTCTAGGCGCCAGGATGGGAACAAGGTAGTCAGCCAAGCACAAAAACATAACAAAACAGGAAACACCGGATAGAACAGATGGATCTAGATAATAGATATTCCTGTTTAAAAAAAATTAATAAAGGTTAGAAAAACAGAGTCACTTTTCCTAAGTGAAGATGTTTATTCACTTATTCCTCTGCTTCTCAGATGTTATTTGCCCTTTTCATTCTAATTTTCTCACAAGTGGTTTTCTGGAAGCTTCATGAAATGATATTATAGCTGCGATGTAAATACCAAGAGAATAAGGCTCTCTATGGTTTTCAATACTTTGTAGGAGTGGAAAGGGTTCCAAACAGTTTGAGAATCACTGATTTATTCAACTGCATTATGTTACTGAGTTCACAAAGTACTACAAGTTCTAAAAACTGGGCAAGCTGCACTAAGAAAAGGCATTCTTTACAGATTATGCATTACAAAAGACTTAAGACACTTCCAGAATGGAAGCTGTGTAGTGCCTGATTCCTTATTAATAACAAACACAACCTTAAGGAATTGAATAGCTCACTTACAGAAACACCAAGGAAACCACACCCATGATGGCAGGCGGAAACCAGGCTCTTTCCCATCGGAGGACTTTATCGGCCATCAGCATCACCTCTCCCCATCCTTGCAGCTGCTCTTCCAGACTTGCAGTCTCTGCAGCCTATACAACCAATATTTAAAGCCATCATTTACTACTCTCAACATTCCTGAGAATTAATCCTAGAGAATTAAACTCTTCTAAGACATCAAATATATAAAACAGCTGTAAACCAAATCACTATTTTAAACAAATTAGTTTCTAAAAAAAAAACAAAACTCTAAAATTTTGGTGCCAATGACAAAAATCAGTGGAGAGAAAAAAAATAATTTAATGGCCACTTTTCCAAGTCTAAGAACTGGGCTACTCTTCACATAAGGTAGGGATAATTAAGACCCATTTTACATTAAAGAATGATTAACCAACTTTCCCAAAGTCATGCACTACCAAGCACAGTACCCACAGTATAAAAATAGATCTTTCTATTCGCTCATTTCAAGTGGTTAGAATTGATTTGCTGTTTTGTCATTTCATTGATTTAAACCCCAACTTCTAAGTCCATTAGGATAGCAGCCTCTCCCTGAACAGCGATCAATAAAATTCTCAAGTAGCTCGTTGTGTAATGGAATCATTTAGATGTTGACATCATTTGCACAAATAAGGAAAACTGCTTTTACCAAATTATAAATGTATATATCTTCTACAGTGCTTCTTAAACTTATGAGGACATTTTGGTTAGACTTCAAATTTCTCCGAAAATCTGACAAGTCAACTTCTAGGATGAGCTAATGTGAAGTGGCAAAACATTTTCTCCTTCAAGTTACACTGCTCTGCTGGAAGGAGTGTTTGAGCTCCAGTCCAGGACCTGTCATTTCAACTCTGTGCTTTGATCAATCCTCTTAAAAGGAACCTGGCAGGGGCTGACTACAGAGATTGGTAGGTAGGTAGGTAGATAGATAGGCAGGTAGGTAGAGGGAGGTGTGTGGGTGGGTGTGGTCATGCATTTCTAAAAACAAGTGCACACACAAACTACCCTGCAAAGTTTCTTAATCCCTTACAGCACCTGGGCTATTAGAACACAAACTACCCTGCAAAGTCTCTTAATCCTTTACAGCACCTGGGCTATTGGAAAATCAAAAGCCAAAAATTAAATTATTTGCTCCTTCTAGTCACTGTGGTGTGGTGTGTGGCCTGCCTTTCCCTGGGAAAAGGGAACAGAGAAAATGCACCGGTTTCTCTCGTTTTTGACCAGAGCGTGCCGTGAAATCCACAGTGAGGTCCTATTTGTCCGCCTGTGATGCAAACTCACTCCAGTTCCTTCGGACCCTTGTTTATTCTGAAATCGTTCTGCGACCCCCATAAGTACAAATTCCAGACAACCGCCTGGACCTCCCCTCCCATTGTCCTGCCAGCTGGACCCCCTCCCACCAACTTCTTTCTCTAGGTGAACTCGCTGCCTCTCGGCCGTTTTCAGCTCTGCCAGTGCTAACAGAAATGTTCAGCCACAGCCCTTTGACCCTCCACCCATTGCCCAAGCATGGGGAAAAGGAACCAAGGGGCGTCCCAGTTAAGATCAAAGCGGGGAGATGCGATACAACTGGGGCCTAGGCCCCAACAGCGCTCGACAGGCCCCTCGCGGCCCTCTGGACACAGCCCCCCTTCTTCCTCAACCCGTATTCGCGATGTCTGATCGCGCGCCCTCCTCTCCCCTCCCCCGGGGGACTAGACACCGCCAAGCAGAAGCTACCCAACAAGGCCGTCGCCAGCGCCAGGAATCCGGGAGAGGGCCGGGCCGCCGCGGGTGATAAACACGAGGCCGCAGCACCGCCGGGTCGAGCCCACCGACGTGCCGCAGCTCCGCCCGTTTCCCGGGTGACGAACGCCGGCACTCACCAGCAAGTTGGTGCTGCGATTATCTCCCTCCGCCATCGTCTCCCAGGTGCCGCTTCAGTGAGCCTAAGGCAACCTCCCAACCAGCCCCGGTCCAAGAACCGCAAGGCGACCCCGGCGCGACGACACGCCCAGCAAACTCCTTATATAGACCGGCGGCCTTTCCCGACAGCCCCCGCGAAGCTCGTTCCTCATTGGGCACGTCGAACCCAAGCTTCAGGGGAGCCGGACCAACCGTTGCCCAGCGCTTGGCTTGAAATCGAGGTCAAAGGAGAGCGAGGCGTTGCAGGGCCGAGGGGGCGGGGCCACAAGGTGACCAATCAGCGCCCAGGAGGTGTGCGCGGCCCCACGCAGGCCTTCGGGAAGCGGTTGAACGGCTCCTGCCCACGCGGGCCTCTGGAGCCCCAGGATTGGCCGCCATGGGTTGTCTCGGACCTTCTGATGAACCTCAGAGCAGCTAAGGAGACGGAAATTTAGTTCTCGAAGAAAGAAGCCGCGCAAGCGTCAGGCCGAGGGCAGGATCCGGCATGTCTC